TTTATGTGAATGGAAAAGCACTCGATGAAAGTCGGTGCCAGTCGCTCGAGAATGCAGATCGTATTGTTGTGCGTGATGAAAGGTGACATCGATGTCGTTTCTTTACAAAGCACTCAAATTTGGTTCCTCTTCAGTACTTCATAGCTCCGTCATTTCATCTTTCCTTTCTTCAGTATTTTTAAGGTATTAATTTTTTTAAACTCATTTTTTGCAGATTCTTCTTGATTCTTTTGGACAAAAGTGATGAAACAACGATTCTGCGCGATCATTCATTCAGCTCCGTGCGATTGGAATATGTGGAGAGCAATTTTGAAAGGTTAACGTTGCATTGTCGATTGTTTTGTTTTGCTTCTGTTAGTGATTGTTGTTTGCTTATTATTCTTTCGGAGGAATTTCGATGCAGCCAAATCATAAGAATAACGAAACGAATTTCATGTGTCTAAGAATTATGAAGCATACTTTTCCGAATCATTGGAAAACATTACTGTCTCAATAAGTAATACATCAGTCCAATAAACAAATAATTTTCACGAAGAGTGAGCAATTTTGTCAGCGTTATCTTTTCAGTAATTAATTGATAAGTTTATTAACTCAACGGTAATGACTGCAACTGGTTTCATTTGATTGCAACATTTCAACAACATTGACAGTAATTTCGATAGGATCCGAACCAGTGGATCAATTCTGTTTTGATTTCATGTTTTATAGAGTACGAGCGCAAGTGGCAGCTGATAAAAAGGCGGACGTTCAACGAGAAAGGCAACAATTGCTTGGAGAGATCGACGAGGAGATGAAATTACGTCGAAAAGAGCTCGAGCAGAGTCAGCAACGAATCACTATCAGCCACGAAACACCGCAGGTTATTACAGTTTCAGTTTTCTGTCGTTTGTCGGTATGACTGAAGGAATTTATCGTGCGCGAGATATCGGTTTGCCATGTTTTTCTTTACTGAAAATTAACGAACGTTGATTTCTGATTGCTGTTCGTCGAAGCAATGTTGTATCGTTGTAGAGGACTGAAGAATCTGAAAAAGCGCACGAGCTGGAGGTTGAACTCGATAATCTGCAGACGTTAAGCGCATCGTTTTGCATTACTTCGAATCGGTATAAATGTTTCATCACTGTTGATAATTCCGTGCAATATTTTCAGCGTAGTTTACGTTTGACAAAATAAAATTGTTATCTCAATCAAATCCTTTATAATAGAACTTTAAAAGCGGATATAAATATCTTGGGAAAATATTCAGCTGAAAATATTCTTGGGCGTTTATCGCGCGATTATTTTCGTTTTTCGATATACATTAACTGATAATTGAGAGGAATGCTGAATCGATGATTTAATAATGTGAC